TCCTTCCTTCCTTCCTTCCTTCCTTCCTTCCTTCCTTCCTTCCTTCCTCGCCAATCTTCATCGCCTCGCCAATCTTCATCGCCAATCTGCTTCGCCGATCTTGTCTGGCCAGCTCCGGATCGCAGTGTGCACCCCTGGACCTCAACCGCAAGGATCCGATCGCAGTGTGCATCCCTGGACCTCAACCGCAAGGATCCGATCGCAGTGTGCACCCCTGGACCTCAACCGCAAGGATCCGATCGCAGTGTGCACCGCTGGACCTCAACCAGATAGTTTGCCAGATAAAATGCCAGATAGAATGCCAAGTAGATTGCCAGATAGAATGCTGCAAGAAGATATGCCAGATAGTATGCCAAATAGTGGGTCAGATAGATTGCTAGATACATTGCCAGATAGAATGCCAGAAAATATGCCAGATAGAATGCCAGACAAAATGCCAGATAGAATGCCAGACAGTATGCCAGATAGTATGTCAGATAGATTGCCAGATAGAATGGCAGATTGAATGGCAGATAGTATGCTTCAAACACACAACCACAAACACAACCACAAACACAACAATAAACACACAACACAAACACAACCACAAACACACAACTACAAACACAACCACAAACACATCCACAAACACACAACCACAAACACACAACCACAAACACAGCCACAAACACACAACCACAAACACGCAACCACAACAACACGACCACAAAGAAACAACCACAAACGTACAGCCACAAGCACAACCGCAAACACATCCATAAACACACAATCACAAACACACAGCCACAGCCACAAACACACAATCACAAACACAACCACAACCACAACACAGCACACAACCACAACCACAACACACAACCGCAGCACACAACCCGAGGACCCACAAGCAAAATCGAGAACTACAATACTCACGACCATGGCAACATGCTCCTCACTATGGCATCAAGTCAAATGATTGAAATGTCATTGTGGGGATCACTCGAAGTAAAGTAATTTGTATAATTCTTTCTTGGAACCTGGGATGAACTTTATTTAGGGTGTCCTAAAAGAATCATGATTTGATAGTACATTTATTAATCTAAAACACACACACATCTTCCGAACCCCAACCTGTTCTTAGATTCTTGGGTGCACCCATATCGTGATCAGCCATGCAGCAAGTATCAGCAGGTGGCAGTTTAAGTGGTTTTGTGTTTTTTTTTGGCAGAGGCCCTCAGAAATACGTACAGTGTACTGCGACGAGCCTCACAAGCATGCCAGTGGCCCCTCTGAATGCCTTAACAAAAGCAAACAAGTTGTTCGGGCCTACATTCAACCCATCAAAAATTCAATAAACACCACCAAACACAGCAACACATGTTTCATCCTCTTGTGAACATCGTTCTTTCCAAGAACATCCTCACACACCTGCCGTCTTCTCACCCCATCCTGTTCCTTCTCACCAGCACCACCACCACGACGACTACTACTACGACTACGACGACGACGGCGACGGCGACGACGACGACTACTCCTACTGCTACTGCTACTCTGACTGCTAATTACTCCGGTCCTACTGCTACTGCCACTACTCGCATCTACTCGCTATCATTCCTGGCAATTCTTAAGTATGGCCTTTTCGCTCTTAGGTTGGAGGCCATCGCTATTACTGTAGGTTGGAGGCCATCGCCATTTTCGGCTCCTTTTTCTCTTGGGTTCATGAATGGCCAATGCACATCCAGCGGCCGCCGCTTCGCCCTGAAGGGCCTCCGCGCGTCCCCACGCCGCTGGTGTCCGGCGGTGACCTTGGGCCCCCCCGGAGGTGGCCTTAGAGGCGTGAAGAGCGGAGGTGACATTGGACAGTGATGGTTGGGACTGGAGGACGAGTAGTAGCATGAAGCAAACACAAGAGCAGAAAGAGTATGTTATATAGGTGTGTTTTTTACTTATTTTTCTGGGTCGTTTCTAATTTGTTTGACTATTTGTCTCATTAATAGACCCTTGACCCACCACTACCTAGATACCATAAAGACATCCACAACCCCACAACCCTATGAGGCCATCGTCGCACGGTGGTGATGCCATCGTCGCTTCGTTCTTTTGCCACGAGGGACGATGCGCGCGCAGCAAAAAAACGCTTGAGAAAGGGGGCTGGCCAGGGACGGTTCTCCAGCCGAAGGGTGACCCAGCCTGAGGGAAGTTGACGTTCGACTTGTACTCATCTGATGAAAACCAAACAGCTTGGGGCCTCAAAACTTCACTGCTGGCGTCTTGAGAGTTCATCAACAAATTGTCGACACATTGAGTCCAAAATGATCCAAGATGATGCTGGAAAACACAAGAGTCAGTGATGGACACAAGATCCCATGTGCCCCAGTGATCACAGCTCTTGTCGGCGATGGTGCTGGAAAACCCTGCTAGCATCCACACACGCCCAGAAGCCCGCCACACACGCCCGCGTCCTACATGCATCACCTCCTGCTAGATTCTGTAATCATTTGACGAACACGAGAATATCTGGCCATTTGCCCATGCAAACTCAAGTCTATAAACAAGAATGGGTACATGGTCACAGAGTGGCATATAGTGTAGCGTATCTACAGGTATATAGTCATCATGGAGTAGATAGACTACGGCAAAATAGATTAAAATACATAAATATATATATATAGGAATCTGGTCATGTTTTTGGATCGGTTCATATTCTATCTGCTCCAGGATGGATGTGTGGGGCATGGGCCACACAAACACGGCCTACTGTGCACCGCCGGGCGAACTGGGGAGGAAAGGGGGCTAACTATATATATATAGATATGTTATGCTTAAAGAAAGGTGTACACCGCTTGCATAAGTAATTCTATGTCATGCAGCATGCAAGTACAATAATGCTGCTGGACAACACCTGATGCTACTTCATTGTTTCCACCATGTCGCATCATCCGATGTCTCCTGGTTCAATTTAGGCACATTATTCGGCTTGAAGACACACACAACGTTTACAGACGCACACAACGTGTTTCATTGAACAGACTTCCTCTGCAAAAAAGATGGCCACACCCGTGCTGGGTCGCCACAAGCATGGCACCGCAACTCTCGGTGCACATTTCTATGCAAAAGTTTTAAAAAGTCGGTGCCTCAAACGAGCGGTGCCGTAGCATTTTTTCCGGTCAGTTCAAGGTATGGAGTGGTTAGCCAAAAAGATCCACTGAAAGACTGACATGGAAGAAAAAAAAACTTTGGAAGACGGTCCTTCTACACAAATTAGTGATCACATCTCTGAAGACCTTTGGAAGACGATCGCCAGTCTGGTTTACAAAACATGAGAACACAGATTTAAAAGCACCTGGACACCAGGTTCTCTTGTGGCACCACTCGAGTGCCCTTCCTAGTAGAAGCCCGGTTTGCCGGGCCACTTCAGGAAAGGATGTCTGCTTGTGTCAGCATGTCTCTTCCTGCAGTCAGCAAAATCGTCTTTCTTGTAAACAATCATTCAGCAAATCGTCTTTCCAGTGGATTCATACCTTAGAGAGTCCTTATTAAAACAAGGTGGATTCATACCAAACCTTCTGAGAAAAACTTCAAGGCCAACCCGCCGGCTTTAAAGGACCTGCTGGGATGGACGGACTGGACACTGACGTGAGGTACTCAGGCGACCTCGTCCACACGCGTCAGCATGTGAAACCTGCGGAGCGTGTGGATCCTTTGGAGATCTCCTGAAACCTGAATTGGTGAATCCCATGAGCACGTGAAACGTGAATCGAAAGCTGAAAGAGTTTTCCTCCTCGTGGATGCGCTGGGAACTCGGGACGGGTTGCCGATGTAGAACAACCAGGTCTTTGTGGGCACTTCCCATTAGCAACCAGTACATGAAGCGAAGGCTAAAGGGGTCGTGTTGCGGAAGAAATCCTGCACCGTTGAACTATCATTATTAGGGTTTTCAAAAAAGCCTTCCTGAAACTCTTGCTGCAGACATAGGTATAATGTCTCATACTGTCTCTTGTGCACGTCTTTTGAGACAGTACAGTTTGGGGTCAGGGGACGATAGTGTATGATTGTGATGGCCCAGGTAAAGGAAACGAACGTATACGAATGTGTTTTTTTGATCTTTAGATTCATGCTCATTGTGCGACCAAAAGTTGAATTTTGAATCAAATTTTGAATATTTAATTTGGAACACTTTTGAGGACATTTGCTTACATTCTTACACAGTAGATCACAATAGTCTACCGCTTCCCCAAGTGTTCACTTCTGTCCAGGCTGGAAATTCACTTGTTTTGTCCAGGCATCCGATCCCATCTGGCACCGATCCCGCCGCCGCGCGATCCATCGGCGAGGCCTTCCCAGATCAACGCCCAAACCACCTGATTTGGCCTGCGGCGGTGGTTTGCGCGCATCCGCCGCGGTGATGGTCGAAGAGGAGTCCGAAAACGGAGATGACTGGAGTAGGTGGAGTACTCAAGAATGAGCCCGCAGGCGAAAGTGTGAGAAAACATCCAACGAGCAAAGCTTTATAGATCATGGGCCCCGGGAAGCTCTTGTTGGAAGCGGTGGGATGTGGAATTCGCTCCGGAGATGGCCTGGGGGTGTCGAACATATCAAGCGTCTACACCGATGTTGAAAGGAAGAGCGAAAACCAGTAGAAACCTGGAGCGTCTACACCTAGTTATACACCTATGTTATATAACTAGAGCGTCTACACCTCAGAAATCACTATACAATTCCTAGTTACCAGTGTATGGTAAGAGGCAAGGAGCAGTTCACCAAGTACAAGTACCAAGAGGCCGTGTATGAACACACTGTGACCAAAGTCAGGCCTGTTAAGCACGAGCAGCCAGGCAGCACTTTGGTACACCAGCAGCAGCAGCAGCAGGAACAGCAACACCACCAGAAACAGCACAGCAGACCAGCAACACCACCAGAAACAGCACAGCAGACCAGCAACAGCAGCAGACCAGCAGCAGCAGACAACAATAGCGCCAACTGATTCAAAGGCTGCCTCTCTCATTACGACTTGCATCTTCTGCATCACCAACTCACAAAGAATTGCCTCCACCCGAAATTAAAAACACTAAGTCTTCAGGGTTCGACATCTGCGCCCCCCCCTCCCCTATAGACACCTCACTTCGTTCGCAAGAAACCAACTTCGGCCGTTCGCCTACGGGCTAGTTTGAGCCCTGCTTTCGTAAGGATAACAAACATAAACATCTATACAGCAATTAATTACAGAATACCTCAGGTTGCTCATATAAATAGCTTTCCGTAAAATACATCAGGTTGCTCCTATGTTAAAACTTAAACACACACCTCCTCTGGCAAGAGATTGATGCGCATCTTCCGCCTTCTCTTCGGCTTCCGGCACCATGATGCAATCCACGAAGTCCATGTCCCAGGCCTTGGACCGGTAGCCGGTAGCGGTAGCCACCGGGCTTCTTCGGCGTCCGGCGTCTGATCAGGTCCGTGTTTTCAGGACTCTGAAGTAGAGCTGAAGCTGTATGAATGTGATTGAATGTGTGTAGGAGGGAACTACCTTAAGCAAGAAGAAAGGTTCCTTCATTCACCCTACCTTACTGACTATATAGTGAGTGGAGGAATGGTGGTTCAGGCCAGAGATGCAATCTTGAGGACTCTCACTCTCTCTCCCAGACTCGCACTTCGCTGCACTGACTCACGCGCCAACTGCATGCGCGTCGCATCGCTCGTCCTCGACCCTCCAAAAGCATGCCGACCACGGTCATCCACATCCTTTGCACTCTCCAGCACCGTCCACCCTTCTCCATCCTCCCAAATCCTCCAAGAAGGGCTTCACGATCCTTTCGCCCCCACACCGCCCGTTTTGCCGCGGCGAAAAGCCCCGGGTTCCCCCGGCCGTGTCGGTGTCTTCGGCGTCCGGAGGGCCCACCTGAGTTGGTTCGGTCGGATCCCACACCGCAGGCGGTTCGAACTTCACTTGGAGGGGAGTAGAAAATGGAATCATCTTCAGACCGTGAACCTCATGAACCCACCACACGATACTGCATCGGCCACCCCACCAAGTACGAGTGCCGGCTCTGCAGCGTCGCGGACGTGGTCGGCTCGATGCCCTCGACGATCACCACCACCTGCTGCAGACTCTGGTGGCGAAGGCAGGGTAGAGTGGGAAGACTCTTTACGTGCAGACAGATTGAAAGGAAGTCACATACACAATCAAATTGCAAGAGTGAATATAGGATGCGATGCTGTACATGTTCTATTTATATCTCTTTATATATTGTTTTTGTTGTCTTTTTAGAGAAGCCTTATAGAGAATGTGACATGTCTCGTATGTGTACGGAGCGGATGTGACATGTCTTGGTCTAGCTGTGTAGGATCTAGTTGGTCCATGAAACCCCGTGGGTCAATATGTGGCAGGACTGGTATTGCTTATGGTTCTCTTCCACATTCCATGGATTGGGATCCACCAAATCAACCATTCCAGTCTTGACCTAAGTCCTTGTCACGGGGCTGGCCTTCGAGCCCTACTTAGAGCCATGGAGTTGGAGCCGATCAAAACGCCCTAGAGCCAATATCACATATCCCTACACACAATTCCTCGCTACAGTCCTTGCTGTCAACCACGGGTCAGGGTCGGTGCCTTGGCCACCAAATACCTGTCAAACCTCCGTTGGTCCTCCTGCTCAAAAGACCTGTCGTCCCGACCACGGAGATGCTGGAGATGCCGGAGCAGGGACCCCCCTGTCAGCTGGCACCTCCTTGTAGCTCCGAGCCAGGTATTGACCTTGCATGCAAGCCACCGGGGTTCCACACGATGCCCCCGTGAAAACAAGAGGATGACCGGGTGTTGGACTTGGGGAGGGATTCCCCAACGAATTGATGGGGCATCTTTTCTTCAATTGAAATTTATGGGGGTCCTACCATCTTCATGACCATGACCATGTTGTATTAATATGTAAAACGCCTTTTGCCTGAGGGGGGGGGCCACAGCAAGGGGGTGGGCCGGTTTGCTGCTTTTTCAGACCAACGCATAAGGATGTGATAGGATGTGGCTTTGAACACGAAGTCCCCGCCAACCGCAAAAGGAACAGGTGCACCGAAAAAGAATCGATTTTAATATCTTCAAAGATGAAAGAACTAATTTTCCGCTTTCCGCGAGGGGGAACATGCACCACGCTTTCCGCTGCTCGCCAGAGCTGCTCGCCAGAGCTCCCAAGAGATCGGACCAAGATGCTGAGCTCAAACTTGGTGGGATCTCCTGGGCGACCCAATCGAGCCCACCCCCCCGAACCGTGAAACCGTGTCTCCGAAACCCGAACAAACCCGAACAAACCGTGCTCGCAGCGAAGAGCACATGGCAGAACCCTTTCACAGAAAAGAGTCAGATTTCCGTGAAGTCTCCTCTCTTTCTGGGTTTCACCGATTACAGTAAAGTCTCCACAGCAAAAGACCCGTCCCGTCCCGGAGACGCGCATCGCGCGACAGGGGACCTGAGCAATGACACAAAGAAGGGCGAAGTGCCAAGAAACAGCGGTGAAGAATCAGCAGTTTACACTGCCATGACCACACACACAAAACAAACAAATACACACCTCACATCCAACACGCACGCTGCTTGCTGCTTGGGATTTCAAACATCTCCCAAGGTCTTGTGCTATACCCACCCCCAAGACCACCTCACTTGCCAGTACGTACTAGTTTGGTCAGTGATTGAGTATGGCTGTGACCCAACCACCGCGAATTTCACATTAAATCCAATGCACAAATTTACGTACCACTATGTATCTTGTACACACGCAGAGCTCAGCCACTGCAGACTTAAGTGTGGACCTTGAGCATGCTCCATGTGCTCTTCTTGCCAGCCAATTCTTGATCACATGGATCCTTGACTCCCCATCCTTTCACCTAGTAACAAGTGCATCGCTACTATAGTAACAAGGGCATCGCTATTAGTAACAAGTGCATCGCTATTAGTAACAAGGGCATCGCTATTAGTAACAAGGGCATCGCTATTAGTAGCAAGGGCATTGCTATTAGTAGCAAGAAGCTAGTAGCAACACGTGCACCGCCCAATATGGGCGGCCGCGTTGTCCCGCACCGCTTTGTTCCAGACGAGACTCTGTGGCTCAGCAAATCCAGAGCTCTCTGAGAGAGCTCCTTGTGGGATGCCTGGGGAATTGCTCGTTTGGAACGGGTTATGGGGCTATGGGGCAAGGGACGTGGAGCGGCGCGTTCTTTGGGAGCATGTTCAACTCTATCTGGATGCTAGCTATCCGAAACAAATGCCTGTGGCTGAGTATCATCAAAAGGCCATACAACAGCAGTTGCGTTCTTGCAGAAGAGACACAATATTATGAATGTATGAATTCTTAGTTATTAAATTCATAATAAATTCATAATGCATAATCCATAATGAATTTTTAGTTTGCGTAGGAATCCACTGAAGTTCACACCTTCGCCCAAGTGACCGCTCCGAAACTCACTTTGCCGGTCGGGCGTCGCTCGGTTTCTTCGGCCAGACGTCGCTAGTGTAGGACTCGGACCGCTCCGACAGGAGGTGACTTGTCATGTCTGCCCTCAGTTGAGTCTTAGACTTGTCATGTCTGGGCTTCTGGTGTCTGATGGAGTCAACTGGCCATACCGCACTTCGCGGCCATGGCGTTGGCCTTCTTTCCCCCCCCGAAACCGCCCCCGGCTCCTCTTTGGGCATGCCGGAGGCCAGGTCGGACGCAGCGCTGTAGCGGCAATGCGACTTCAAGGTCTCGGCCTGATTTGGTCGGCGCAAAGCACTACTTTGGTCGGTGCGGACGACGGCTTGTTGACTGAGTGTTACAAAAGAATGGTTGACTGCTGATTTTCAGCAAGCACCCCGCAGATCAAGAATGGTAGCACAGTACATCTTCATAATTCTTCATGTTATGTGTTTCACCAATATTTCACCCATCTCATCTGTGCCAACACGGCATGCCGCCACAAAAATGGGGTATGGGGTACCCGTCCATCCGGTCACCATCCATGCCATACGTCATCAACTTGAGAGAGGAGGGGGTGAATGAAAGGTAGCAGGCAATCACAAGTAACCCTGGTAGAAGTCCACGACGGCGTGAACCGGCGCAGGGGGGATTTGATCCAGGGGGGGGGGGGGCCCCCCCCCCCCGACGAACAGAATCAACTCTTACAGGACCAAATTCAATGCACAATCCCAACTCCTGATTGTAATACATTTTTGCTAAAGCAAGGAGAACTCAGGTAGCTCAAGCTACCTTTCGTGATCAGCAATCTACCAAACATGTATATACCTTTCTTATCCTTTCTTAATATAGAGTAGCTATTATGTGGAGGCCATCGCTATTAGGTTGGAGGCCATGGTCATTAGGTTCCTTTCTTATCCTTTCTTGCCCTTTCAGACCTTTCTTTGGTCCTTTGTGTTTGCCAAGTCGCTGTCGGAAATGTTTCCCCGCAAGTGGGACAAGCACCTTCGTCCAGGCTTCATGAGAGGCTTTCGGAGCCACGGTCAAATTTTGCAAAGGAAGCGTGCGTTTTCGTATTTTTTTTCCAGGTGTTATTTTTTGGTGTGCTGTCGTTCTTGGTGGCATCCCATGTGTTCTCGTTGGTCTTTTTCAGACAAACCTGCTGAGATCCCCGTATGGTCATCGGTCATCGTGTTCGACGTAAATTCGATTCGTCCTGACTGGAGAGATTGTCTTCGAATCGTGAAGCGAACGTCAAATATATGTAAAATGGTGCACAGGGCCAACCAGGGAACGCCCAATTCTGTGGTTTCGGGGCAGAATGAAGGACTTTCTGCGGTCAGTGGGACCCAGACTCAGACGTTCTGATGGGTTGCATTGAAGCGATAGGAGCGAGCCCAGAGTAACAACACAACACATTTATATATATATATATACATTTATTTAAAGAGAGAGAGAGAGAGAGTGTGTGTGTTGTCCTGGTTATTTTACTGATCTTGTTGGTAAACATATCAGTCCATTGAAGCCAAGTTGTGGCCCCATCAAAATGAAGCATCACTGGAAATATGATGAAATATGTACCGATTTGCTACCCCTGACCTGGGGGTCGACGCCTGATTCGGTAACCAAACGGTCTGATTCGGTAACTATGATTCAGTAACCAAAAGCGCTGATTCGGTAACCAAAACATCTGGTTATCGGTAACCAAAACATCTGATTCGGCAACCAAAACCACTGATTCGGTAACCAAAACCCGCTGATTCGGTAACCAAAACTGCTGATTCGGTAACCAAAAACGCTGATTCGGTAACTAAAGCCGCTGATTCGGTAACCAAAACCAGGAAACCAAAACCAAAAACACTTCCAAAAAAAGAGACCGATGACCCGGGTAGTAGTAGTAGTAGTAGTAGTAGTAGTAGTAGTAGTAGTAGTAGTAGGTAGTAAGTAGTAAGTAGTAAGTAGTAAGTAGTAAGTAGTAAGTAGTAAGTAGTAAGTAGTAAGTAGTAGTAGTAGTAGTAGTAGTAGTAGTAGTAGTAGTAGTAGTAGTAGTAGTAGTTAGTAGTTAGTAGTAAGTAGTAGTAAGTAGTAGTAAGTAGTAGTAAGTAGTAGT